GCAACATACCAAAGACTGATGAATCGGATGTTCAAAAAGCAGATCGGCAACACCATGGAATGTTATGAATCTAAAGAAATATTACTTTTGAAGTATCATCTCCCTCAAGTGCTTGCCAACGACAAAGATAAAGGGCAAGGCCCTGGGGACAGAGTTCAAGAGCTCCTGTACCTGAAGCAAATACAGGAGCAAGCCTCCTGGAAGGGCAAGGCCCTGGGGACAGAGTTCAAGGGCTCCTGTTCCCGAAGCAAATACAGGAGCAAGCCTCCTGGAAGGACAAGGCCCTGAGGACAGAGTTCAAGGGCTCCTGTCCCCGAAGCAAATACAGGAGCAAGCCTCCTGGAAGGGCAAGGCCCTGGGGACAGAGTTCAAGGACTCCCGTCCCCGAAGCAAACACAAGAGCGTGCCTCTTGAATGGGCAAGCCCCCGAAGACAGTTCAAAAAAAAAAAAAACAACAAAGCACTACTGTACACAAAAAAGGAAAAAGTACTCATGATTTATTTCAAGAAGAGGGGCTTTGCATCCCCAAAGGCTACAAAAGAAAAAAGAGTACAATCAAAAAGAAAAAGGGGCTTTCATCTGGCCCTGGGCATCTCCACAACATCAGCCGAGGACGAGTCAGCATAAAAAGGTTAAGAAGCTTCTGGAGCAGGCAGAAGGAGAGGTACTTCGGCAACAAAGAGACCTTGAGCAACATGAGGATCAGGGGCATGGTCCGGCGGGGCCTCTTTGGACAAGTCCACTATCACTGCCTCGGGCGGATCCGCCGAGACTTGCACCGGCGTTGGGATCTCATCCTCGTCGGCAATCTCTGCTTCGGCCCGTTCCATCTCTGCCGAGGGCACGTACTTGTGCATCTGGAAGAGCGGGGAGTCTGACGGGATTCCAGCAGACTGGAGCGCCTTGTCCCACTATTTCTTGAAGAACTCCTTGCTTTTTTCCTCAAGAGCAGGGAGCACGTCATCAGCGAATTCTTCCCGGAGTTTCTCCTCCGACTTCCTGTTCAGTGCCTTGGCTCTGATCCTGTCCAGCTCCTGGGTGAGAGCCAGACAGCTTTCCTCTGAGCCAACCGCCCTCTCCTCTGCGGCAGAAAGCCGCCGCGTCTGCTCGGTGATCCTCCCCTCAGCATCGGCAAGGGCAGCACTTAGCTTTTCAGCGCCAACCTTAGTCGACTCAACATCCTTGAGGAGTTGTTCGATTTGAGCAGCCTGCCCCGCCAGGGTAGAATCCCTGGCAGCTACGTCCTCCATTGCTCGGGCGAGGGCCCCCTCCGCCTCTTCCTTCTGCTCTCGGGGCCGCTGGAGGTCCATCCTAGACCCATGGTACCGCGCAGCTATTATGGAGATCTGTTGGGTAGCCTGCAAAGGAGGGAAAAAGGCGTATCACAAAAATGGAAAGCGAGAGAGAAGAAACCAAAGCAAAAATGAACTTACCACCAGGGAATTCTGGATGATAGAGCGGAACAACACGTTCGTCGATCGCCCCCTGTGAGCCGCCATGTCAGCCTCGAAATGCAGTGTCTCACTCACTGCATTGGCGACATGAGGATCCAGCAAAATGGAGTCATCGACCCTGATCACTCGGTTCATATGATCGGTGGCTCGGGGATTCCACTCCGCGGTTTCCACTGTCGGCGGAGGGGAAGGGGGAGTCTGTTGCTGCCGTTGTTGCTGTTGTTGTTGTTGTCGTTGCTGTTGTTGTTGCTACTGTTACGGAGGAGCAGGGGGTAACCCACGGCCTCTCCCGCTTTGCTACTGAGCGGAAGATGCCCTGGATCCTCTGCCGAGGCCATCGTGCCTATGTTTGACCCTTCTCTCCTCCTCTACCTGAGGATCCCGGTCACGCACTTGACCCCGACTGAGAACTCTTGAGGATGGGGTGGAACTGATCCCTGCAGATGGGGCGTCGCCGGTCGATCCTCGACCCCTCCCGACAGTAAGGGCTTGCCTCTGCCTCAGGAACCCCAGGTTAATGCGAGGCGTGCTGGACATCGCGACCTCGAGGGTGTCCTCGGCGTCTAGAGATTGTAGAACTTGGAAGTCCGGCCACAAATCTCCTCCCGAAGTCCCCACCTCGGCGTCCGAAGGAACAAAGTCCTCTCTGACCCCGAGCTCTTCAACTACTCCCTCTACTTCTGCCTCCGAAGCCCGATCAGGGTCTTCTTCCAAATTTTCCTCGACCTCTTGCCTCGCCGCCTGATCGAAAAGTTCAGACCACCGCGAAGGCTCAAAAGGCTGAGGAAGCTGTGAAAATTTCTTATACCCGGGGGTGTAATTCAGCAGGATGTGGGCAGCCCGGCCGAACCCGTTGTCACCAGTAAATCTCCAAACCGCGATTAGATCGGCAAAGTTCACCAGCGACCGAGGGGGAGGAGCTATTTCCCGAGCAGGGATATCTGCACAAACAAAAAAAGTAGTCATGAACATGGAAAATCTGGAGAACAAAATAATAAACCCGAAGGAACCGACGTACTTGTCGTTCTCCATTCCAGAGGGCATAACAAGCCGTTATACTCGGGACCAACACCTCTCTGCCAAGATCCCTTGAAAATAAGAATATCGTCCTTGTACCCCTTGTCCGAGTCGGGAAGATGAGTTACAAGGTACATGGAGGGTTCCCTGGCCTTGAGGTAGAAGTGTTGGTGAGGCATGACTCTCAAGAGGGAATAACAAAAAAGGAGATCGTTCAACCCAATATTTACCCCGAGGCGCCTATTGAGCTCTAAGACTCCCATAATTATTCTGAAGACATTAAGGCAACACTGCCCGGGGAAGAGGCGAAAGTGAGAGAGGAACTGTAGAAGTAAAAGGGGTAAAGGAAACCTAATTCCGCCCTCTATTATGGCCTCGGTATAAAAGGGCATAGCATCCTCGGCTCCGAGGGTAGGAGTGTGCACCCCCGAGTCATAATCCTCTATGTCTACGCACGGGGGAATGCCGTACTTGACCTTAAACCTATTAATCTGCTCACCACCCTTTACTTTATACTTCTCCGACCCCGAAGAACCAGCCTGAGGATTCTCGGGAGCAAGGCGACGACGAGGCATCTCTAAGAAAGTGAGAAAGTGGAGGGTATTTTTTCTTAAAAATCCCTGAGGAAGCTTCCCGAGGATTAGTCGCTAAGTATCAACTGGAGACACCTCCAGTCATCGGAAAACAAAAAGGCGTAGGAGGAAGAAAAGAAGAAAGAAACTAGGACTCACCCGAATGCCAAACGGAGTTTTTTCTGGAAAACTTTAGGCGACTCCTTCCAGAAAGTTCAGAAGCAACGATGGGTCTGCTGGCCTTAGGACTTTAAGGAAGAATGGGCAGTTGACGATGGGAGAGGAAAGAGATCTCCGGCGAATATTCAGGAAAAGGCTCTCTTGAGGAAGTTCGGAATGACGAAACAAGAAAATGCAAGAGAAACCCCATTTATATAGTGGTTGTTTCATCATTGGGCGCGAAAAATGAAACGGCGCATTTAATGCACACGACATCCTAAGCCGGGAAAGAGGCTCGAGGCAATGATGAAGCATTTGTGGTTGTTGAGAAACCCTTCGTCTCCTTACGACGCGTGCCCTCGGTGTCAGAAGATCGAAGGCTGGGGGGCAGTTGATGGGACTTTTCTGAAATACTCAATGATGAAGACACGTGTCCTCGGTATTTACCAAAATACTGTTACTAAGATCAAGCACCATCGGCGCATAAAGGTCCTCGCCCCTGAGGTACTCGTCATATAGGATCATGGCATTTAGTATGTTTTACAACCGACACGTAGCCTCGTCTGATATGGTACCTCGGTCGGTATACCTCCCTCGGGTCCGAGATGAGCCTTTCCTCGGTGCCGAGAGGTACTCCGTCCTGGACGCCTCCTCTACTCCAGGATAAGCTATTGACGTACAGGTCATTAGCCTAGGCTAGTCAGCATGACCTCGTCTTACACAATTAGTGTCAGAACGTACTGGAATGCAGGGGCCACAGCCAATAGGGGATGGACGCGTGGCGTATGATATCACATCGAAGACAGAGAAACCGCATGCCGTTGCTGACACGCGACTTGGGAAAGCAAACGATTAATTACACCATTCTCTTGATGAGATCGCATTCAATGCGGTAAGGCTCGGAAATGAAGGGCAATAAATGCTCCTAATACAGAGCATTTATTGCATCCTCCCCGAGAGGAGTACATTGTACCGTCGGCATCTCGATGACCCAGCATTAACTGCTCGGGATCCCGAGCAGTTAAGAAGAGAAGACATTCCTCATCAGAATTGGTGCGCACACTGCCTGTACCTAATGATCACCTACTGACTACACTGACAGCAATCATGAGCTTTTGAGGTATAAATACTCCTTGCAAAAGGCAAGATGGGTATGCAACAAAAAACTCTTTACTACAATACACACTAAGTGTTTTTTCCTTCCTCTCTCTTTCTCAAAGACTGACTAGACCGTCGGAGGGGATACGCCGAAAAATACTCCGGCACCCTTCTAACTTGTTCTTTTTCGTTCCAGAAACCTCTTTCAACCTTACTGGATCGTTCTTCCGCTCCTCCAGGGTCTCCCGTTGCCGTTCCAAGTTACCACCAGACCTCGCAGGCTGTTCCAAGCAGTGTGGTTGATCACTCAACTGGCTCACTCGAGTTCACCAAGTGAGAGATCTGTTCTCGTTTTTTATATTGTGCAGGATCTTGCACGCGCAAGAATGATTAAAATAACTAATCCCAAAGATCACCCAACTACAAATCAGTAGTTGTTGATTGTATTGTAGTATTCAATTATTATTTTTAGTAGCACATGATAAACGACCGCCGGAGCAAACTATTGTTTTACCCCGATGCACAAAGGATTGTTTCCGAAACTTGAATACACTACATCCAAATTACAATTGAGTAGAGTTTACTAGTAGGTCAAGACCCGCCCTCAAATTGGAAAAGGGGAGTACTTGGAAGTTGATTGCTTCTTAGTTACTAAAGAAACGCCATTGTTAGCTTCACTGTTCTTGTTTTTCATCAGATATGGAAGAAACCACCAACTTTTCATCAGGAAAAAGGTAACTTCATGACATGATTTTCAGATTGTGCAATATGTAGATCAAGTTGATTCTTCATGAAAATTGTATTTTTGGTTTGCAATTTTTGATGTTATTTCAGGTGTGCTGTAGTTACCGGGGCAAACAAAGGAATCGGACTAGAGATATGTCGCCAGTTAGCATCCAATGGAATTAAAGTCATATCAACTGCTAGGGATGAGAAGAGGGGTGTTGAAGCTGTTGGAAAACTCAAAGCTTCTGGGCTCTTAGATGTTGTTTTTCATCAACTTGATGTAAAAGATCCTGACAGCATTGCTTCTTTGGCAAAATTTGTAGAAACCAATTTCGGAAAACTCGATATTCTGGTGAGAACACAAATTCACTGATGAAATTGTGCCTGCTGATGTTCAACTTTTCTCCCTCTTTCCTTGCACATGTTCCTCGTATAATACAGTTAAACCACCATTTACTCTAAAAACTTAAGATATTACAATGGTGTAATTTAAAGCCTCTTACCTTACACTGAAGGTCGAGGAGAGAATTGGATTAGTCTCTGTATATTTGAATGATTCTGAAAATAAGAATGCAATGAACTTCAGATACACAAAGGAGGGTACCACTAATAATTGCTGATCAGTGTGCTGTTGATAATAAACTCTATGCAGATCAATAATGCAGCGGTAAATGGAGTTACAATCGACATTGAAGCATTAAGAGCCTTTAAACTTGGAGGGGGATTAGTAAGTATTTGGAGATTCACCTGTAGCTTTTTATCAAAAAAAGGTGGACTTGTGTCCAGAAAATTTTCGAAACAGCTTCCCACTCATTAGTCTTTTTCAATTCGATCCAACAGAATTCAATCTAGTCATACATTCGGAATTTCTTTAATCCTTGCTTATCAAAAGTTCAACCCAAATTTCATCTCGACACTTAAATGTTTGATTATTTGGTATTTCATTCCAGCTTCGACTGAGAGCAAAAATCAAAAGGCAAGAAAGAAATCATCCGTAATCCCTTTAGGCCAACCTTCTTGTGATTGAACTAGATTGAACCAGCATAAGAATATAGGTTCTTAGCTCCTGATTTATTTAACAATTTACCCCCAACAAGACAATCTCATAGTTTGGCCATCCAAATCAAGTAATTTCTAATTTATGCAGGTAAATGATGAGAATGCTCATTTGGTGAATAGAGTCATGCAGCAGAGTTACGAAAAGGCAGAAGCATGCATTAGAACAAATTATTATGGAACTAAAAGTATGACTGAAGCTTTTCTTCCTCTCCTTCAGCTCTCTAACTCAGCAAGAATAGTAAATGTCTCGTCTATTTACGGACAGCTACAGGTAATAAACACAAAATATTCATGCTTTATTAGTATTAACACGATCCGATTATGTCTTCCCTCTTTCTGTTTCAGTTTATTTACAATGATATGGTCAAAGCAGAGCTGGAAAATCTTGAAAGCTTGACAGAGGAGAAAATAGATCAGCTTTTGTTGATGTTTCTGAAGGATTTCGAGGAGGATAAGTTGCAAGCTAATGGTTGGCCTCTTACAGTATCTGCGTATAAAGTTTCAAAAGCTGTCATCAACGCCTATACAAGACTGGTAGCAAAGAAATTCCCTAATATTCTTGTCAATTGTGTGCATCCCGGACTTGTGAAAACAGACATTTCAAGCAACTACGGAAATTTGAGTCCTGAAGAAGGTGCTAGAGCTCCTGTAATGCTGGCTTTGTTGCCTGATGATGGCCCTTCTGGCCTCTACTTCTACGAGATGCATGTGTCCGCTTTTTGACAGTCATAAATATCTGAGTTTCAGAACATGCTTATTGCTACATCGAACTTCTCTGTTGTCTTTTGCAAAAGATTGCACAATCCGAAGGCATTTGGAATCATCATATAGTACTTGCCTTTCTTTCAAATTCAAAGTTTCAACCGATCTTAATTTCTAACAAGCAATGAAGTATAGATGTCATGAAAGAAGATTGTATTCAGTACTCAATGCCCAGAACTACAGAAATTATAAGGTTTGTTTCAACAATCCCTATGACTATCCTGTTTATTTAGCATATAAATAGAGGCACAATTTAAATCTATAGGGGGGCACAAGAAATCCCCAAAAAATATCAAAATCAAGTCCAAAACCAACAAAAACGCGGAGTTCCTATTAAGTAGGTGGAATGAAGCCATCCTTGAATCAGAGAGCAGCAAGGGAAACATCAGATGATCATGATGCTGCTATACTGTGTCTGGTTCAGATATGGGTTCTTCTTCTGGTTCTGTTTGTGGCAGTGGTGCCACGTTTTTCTTAATCGAAGCAGTCTTGGTGAGATGACTGTAGCTACCCTTCTCCTTGAACAACTGAGAAAAGTGGGGCTTGCAATACAGATTTCCATCCAAAGCAGCATAGGATGAGGTTGTAAGAAAGCAGCCCCCGTGCACGCATCTGAAGCATGACTTATGGTAAAATTCTCCCTCCATGGTCACCTGTAACAATTTTTTATCAGAATCATTAGCACTTAGGCTCAGACACGACCCAGACTCCTACGATCTATCTACACTTAAAAAAAAAGTTGCTGCTCTTGAACAAATCCTGAAAAGATTGGATCGCCTCCTCCTCTATCCCCATTTCGGAAGCCTGCCCGTTTGAGTCTCACTTAGTCTATGGCACACATATTTCTCTATGGATTATAAATACAGAACTATTAGACTTACAACAAAATGCAATGCAGATAGGGGAAGTAAGATAGCTTACCTTCTCCAATGGATAGACCGTCTTTTTACAGACTGCACATTTGTCTTGGGTGCCAGAGAAGAATGAGGAGAGTTTGCTAGGGGTCCTGGCCTGCAAGTCACAGAAATACACATGCAGAATGGTTGAAAACTATCTCACATACTCAATGTAATGCAACAAAGAAGAAATATCAAGAAAATGAGGCACAAACAAACGGATTGAATTTGTGTACCAGCTCATTCTGCTTCCCAGCTGTTCATCCACAAAACAATCCATTAGGCCAAGTATACAGAAAGTAAGCAGATTTTTGATGCCATAAGTGATGTGAAAAACTCACATGGTTGGAATTTCTTAGTTAAATTTCCGGCGGTCTCCTTAAAGAGTTGCTCAAAGTGAGGCTTGCAGTATAAAACTCCTTCCATGGAGGAGTAGTTACTCATCTGTACAAGCATTAGTGCTGCCTTGAATGAATAACAAATTTCACACGATCTAATAAAACCTATAACCGCACAATCCCTTCATCTACATCAAAATTCAAAACCCCAGAATTGCAATTCATACAGTTTGGTAAGATAAAACCAATATGAAACTCCCCTGCTTCTCTTATTAAACTTAAAAGTGGGCAATCCTGATTGCAAAACATCAAGGCTTTTTTCTATCCAATTGATGAAATACAAAGGCAAACAGCTTGATCGATTTCGAGACATAATTTTTTTCTATGTATATATGCTCTTGAATTCACAAACCATAAAAACTTCAAAGAGATGATAATGCATACCCCAAGTCGTCCATTGCAGTGACTGCATTTGAAGCAGGTCTTATGATAAGGAATTCCATCAGCTGACAACATCTCAATGAAGTGAACAGTCTTGTCACAGGCTTTGCATTTTTGTTGGCTTCCACTGAATGCCATTTCTCTTCTTTTCAAATCAAAAAATTCTGATCTAATGGGGTTATTATTCAGTCTCCAAGAATGATCAATGAGACCAATGACAAATCAAGAGGAAACTAATAAGCTGTTCTTGTACCAGTCAGATGTAAATTAAAGGCTAAAAATGAAATGGGTCATTGAGTGGAGAAGGTGAATGTAAACTGTGTTGAGGACAGGAATGATTGGAAAAAACAAAAATATTCTAATTATAGGATGAACTCAATGGAAATATTAGAGGGCAGATGATAGATTTTCCGCCTAAGCCGGCAAGGGACTCCACTTAGTTATTTTTGTAGTTAATTTAGTTGTTCAAATATAGATTTTTTCAAGGCCAATGCTATATATGGGTATTTTTCTTTGGTATTATCTATATAATCTCTTTGCATGATAAGAAATGTCTCGTTTGTTTATGATCTTAGACAATTTCATATTTACTAAAAAAAATTGAAATCAATATTGATGGTCGGATTAGTAAGTGCTATTGGCGTTCGCCAATTGTTTTTATGGCATTCATATGCCACATCATTTGGCATTTGAAATTTTATTAAAGATAAATTCTTAAAAACAAATTATGAAAGACTTTTTTATTTTTGATAGCCACGATTTTTTACACTACTAGGGAGGGGAGAGGGAGGGGAGCCACTAGAATTGAACTTTCAACATGCCACTCCATTACAAAGGGGTTAAATCATTCGAGTAGGACTGAGTTCCTAATAATAAAAGACTTGACACACTGTATTGTTCAAAGGTCTTTATCCTAAGCTAGTTAGGTTGAAATTGAACTTGGAAATAGCAATTTCACTTTCATAGCCTTGAGCCCCAGTAGAATTATATATATTCAAAAATTATGATTGCCAATCAGATGCAAATATAACATTGGTGTGAAACAATAAAGGAAAAAATTAGCGTAAAGATCAAATTTCCAAAAGTTTCCTTTTTGTTCTACAATCATATTGATTGTTAGATGGCCTTACGAAACGTTAATGCTCCATTTGGTACGATAAAAAAGTGGGAGGATGAAAAATTAGAGGGATAAATAAAATATCATGTTTGATAAGGAAGGAAAGTAAGAAAGATGGAAAAGTGGATGGATTAGCTTTCCTTCCAACTCACCAAAATCAATCACTCCAAAATCGAAAGGAAAGTGAATGGAAAGTTAATTATTTGTGTTGAGATGTATCTTATTTGTCTATATATCTTATGTATAAATTAATTTCATATAAAAATACAATGGTAAAATATGTATATATATTTTAAAAAATTTTAAAAATTAATTTTTTAAAAAATAAAAAATAAATAACATTTTAAGAAATAATAAAAATTTTAAGTTAAAAACAAATATTGTTTCCATCTTAACTAAGGGTAAAATTTTTCAACTCAACACGATGACACGACTCGAACTCGATACGAAAATAAATAGGTCAATTCGTAACTCGATACGGCACAATTAATTAAATGAGTTAAGTTAGGTTTGACTAATATTCGACACAAACTCGTAATGATTCAACACGAATCTGACACGACACGACTCGACTTTATTGTTACCCTTAATCTTAGCAAGCACCAAAAAAAAAAAAATAGTCATTTTTATTTTTCATTCATCCATTCAACCAAACACAAAGGAAGAAAAATGTATCCTTCCTATTTTTCATCCTTGAAGAATAAAAAATGTATCATTCCTAATTTACATGTTTCATATCAAACAGAGCATAAAGAACCGGTGAAGAATGAATAATGTCCGGTAATACAGTAATACTCACACGAGGATAAGATCCTTTTTTAGTTTAGCAGTGAATGTCTTGTGTCTTAGAAAGAAAGATTTCTTCCCTGATTCAAACCATGAATGTGATACCTTGCTAAAAGTCATTTACGACATTTTTATAGATAGGAAAATACTACAAAATTCAAATAAAATTTAAAAATTTTAATTCAAATACATATTATTCTTGGATGAATAAGTCTTATTGAAAAAATTAATGAGACCACTCATGCAAGAAATGATATGCATTTAGATTGTAATTTTTTTAATTTTATTTGAATTGTATAGTATTACTAAATATAATCATCTACATTTAAAAAATCATATGCTCTGCAAGACGCTAATACAACTTGGAGAGGGTTTTGATTGATTAAAAAAAATAAAATATTTAAACTGATATATATATATATATGCTTAGATAAAATCATACATAAAATAGGAATTGAGGTTGTGGGAGAGCAATACAAACGTCGTGTTTCTAGAGTCTTAGTCAAAGGTAGAACGTTGCACCCTAGATGATGAAAGTCCAATAACTGAAAGTATCACCTGTTTTCACTCTAACCTGAATAGCATGAGACACATTGAATCCCGCATGAATCAGACATTGTCATTGTGTTTTTAAAATTTTTGTATATTTTTATTTTAAGTTATCCAAATATTGAACCATGGTTTCTCCTGATGAAAAAAAAATAAAAAGAAAAAATGGGTAAGCTTAACGTTGGGCTGGTGGCCAGTGGCCAGTGGCATGTCGTACCCAATTAGGGGTGATCCTAACTTTAATTGGATGAGCAAGTAAGGTTTGATTCGTGGTTTCCACCGTTTAAGGCCCTTCTAAAGCGCATCTTTCACATATTCAAACTGTTATGGTCACACTCAAGTAAGATCGATTTGCTGTTCACCCCCTCTTAATTTTTTTTTAAAATAAACAATTTTTTATTAAGAATATCTTCAAGAGAATGATTAAAACTTTAAAATAATTAAAATTTAGTTATTCAGAGGCAAAAAACATGCTTCAATAGAATATGTTCGGCGTAGATAAAATACATTTTTGCTACAATGTGCTCTATATTTATAGTAGCATTATGTATAAATAATTTATAATATATTCTATCTTATCTTGCCATTTTTCACTTATTTTCTCCACTCTTTGTCTTTCTTTCCATTTTTTCTCTCTCTCCCAAATAGTCTCAATAAAGGTACAAAATAGAAAAAATAATATTTAAAGAAAAATAGTTAAATATAAAAAATCTATTGGAGTGTGTATTGAAAAAGTGAATAGTTAAAATAGAAAAAGTACATTTTTGGATAGCTAAAATACGAGACCTTGCTAGAAATGCTCTAATATGAGTGAAAACTTTACAAAGAAAGAAAAAAAGTAATTAAAAAACCCCCTAAGGAAAGTTACATTAGTTAATGAGATAGTATACCAATTAATAATAAAATTTTAAATGGATAAAATGAACTCTATTTAAGTAGTTATTGGTTTACTTAAAAGAAACGTTGATAGTTATTTGCTTATATGTATATATAATTATTGGTTTGTGTGAGATCTATTTTCTTATTTATTTATACATTATTAGTTTGTGATGATACCACATAGTAATGTTGACGTGATATCACCGTTGTAAATTATATATTTTTCCACTTGTCCACCCCAAGCCCGTGAAAAAATATTAGGTATAACAGTGATACAACGTCATCATTGTTACATGATGTCACCATCTAATAATAACATAACAAATAAATTAGTGTTTCCCACATATTCAAGTAACCACATTGTCATATCATTTTAAATAGGTTCTTTTTTTTAATTTTTTTTTTGGTTTAAAAAATGGTGGGGGTAACGAAGAGACCCCAACGACCACCTTCACCAGTGAGATCATAAAAGTCCCTGACCGCTTTCGAAACACCTCTTAGAACTAAATTTAGCTAGACTAGTATAGCAGCCAATCACTAAGCTCTAAAAGGAAATTCCAAGATTCAAAATTTCAACCTTTAGATGAGTAGTAAAGTCGATACCACCACTAAACCACTCTACTTTATGGTCTATTTATAAGTTTATTATTAAACGATGACATCAGATATCAATAATCTAAAATGTCACTTTTACGTAGGGCTGTCCATGGGCCGAGTCAGGTTTGTCTCGTGAATTTTTTTTTTAGGTCAAACTTGAGTAATGTAGGCCCAAGCCGTACTCAGGCAAGTGGCGGGCCCGGCTCGGGTAAGGATAATCTACCCATAGCCCAGCCCCATCGCCAATTGGACGGGCTTTTTGGGCGGAATTTTGTTGCACCTGTTGGAAGCGAACTATTTTAAGTTATGATGGTCATTTAATTATAAAAATTGGTTGAACAAATTTAAAAAGTTAAGTTGTAATAACTAATTTAATATAATATTGAACATATTCGTAACATTGATAATCGATACAAATAAAATGACTTATAGTATTACCAATAAACATAACTAAAAAGAATTTATTAAAACTAAAACATAAAAGAGAAAAATGAAAAGTAAGAGTTTGATAATATTATCCAAATTATATTGAAATAAATCTTATATTAAATAAGACTTTAGTGCATTTATGCAATCTCATTTGAAAATTCAGAAACTTGTATCAATTAATGAAAATAGATAAAAATAAATAATAGTAAATTTAATTATTTTAACGATTTATTTTTATCTTTTAAAAGAAAGAATATGAAAGGCTTGACTATATGTAATATTAATAAAGTTTTATCAATATAAATTTTATATTAATAATGTTAGTATTGTAAAAGTCAAGTCGTCCAATTAAAAGTTTAATATCAATTTAGTCTTATTAATATGAGTTCTAAATTAAATAAGATTAGTATTGTTTTTATATATTGTTTTAAGGTTAAAGTAGTCAATCAAAAGTTTTTCTAAATAGTGTACTTTTATTAGTAGTATAGATATAGATATATATATATATATTATATATATGATATATGAGTTTCGGGCTTCAAGTATGTGGGCGAGTTATTAGGTCGGGTATGTGGATAGATTATTAAATCGAGCTTTGGTATTTGGGCTGGGCTTCGGACTTCGGGCCGAGTAATGGATTTAAAGGTAAATCCAAGCCTTTTCTTAAAAAATATTAGACTCGGATTTAGGTGGGCTAATTATTGTACTTATTGGACTTCAAGTCTATTTTTTTTCGGACCGAATAACGAGACCGTGAATAATCATGCCCCCAGTCTTGCGCCCAATATTCACTCCAAGCGCACATACGGAAATCGAAAAGTGGTACCTACCGTAAAATTAGGGTAACAAATCTGGATCTCCTTCTAAGTAAACCTAGAAGTTAAAAACCCCCAAATGTAGTTATAGCCCTGCCCTATATTTTCCTTCATCTCAGGCTTCCTCCACTGTACTTGTTCTGCACAGAACAAACACACACGCACGCCGTTGGAAAGTGAAGGATTTTTAGTGGTTATTGTTGCTAGATAGTTTCTGATGAATTCGCGAGGAAGATATCCACCGGGTATCGGAAATGGTCGCGGCGGTGGTAGTGTAACTGCTCAGAGTGCAAACCCTAATCCTAACCCTAACCCTAACCCTAACCCTAACCCTAGCTTCAACCCCGGTTATTATTCTAGAAACCCTCATCAAATGCAACCACAATACGTGCAGAGAGCTCCACAGAATCAGCAGCAACAACAGTGGCTCAGACGAAACCCGATTGGGACTGAACCCGCTGTCAATGAAGTTGAAAATGCAGTTCAGTCCGAGGCCATGGATTCAAGGTACATTTGCCCACACTCTAGGTTCCTTTTTTTTTTTTTAAATTTAATTTTATCGGTATTAGATTTTTTTGGGTTCCATTTTGATTTGGCTCTTTCGTTAATGAAATTGGGGTTTATCTGGGTAATTTAGAGTTGGCTCAAGTATTTTTGATTTGATGACATTTGGGTTGAACTGTTCGTTGAAATGAGGAAGGATATGATTGGGTTTCTGTTAGTAAGCACATTATTTTTCCTAGAGGGTTTTGGGAAGGATAAGTTCCTTTGTTTTTTCAGGCTCTTCTATGTGTACTGAATTTGTGGCTTAATTGGGTCATTTATTGTCCCTTTTGTTTTTTGATCTGATTATAGAGGGGGAACTTTGCGTTACGTTAAGCAAGGGCATGCATATATTTGGTGTTACTCTGTCGAGATTTCCTTATCGACGTCCTGTCTATGGGAATGCATGCATTTATGCATCTGTTTATTTTATGTGTGTTTGTGTGTGCATTTTTTTGGGAAAGAAGATGTAGCAAGTGATATTTGTAGTAAGGTGATTGAACATATTGAAGGATTGGCTTTTTCCTGCCTCAGGAAAGATTTTTGTGGCAATACTCCTTTTGGTGCATTCCTGGGTTTTACTGATTTCTTGTTACAGTGTTTTCCTAACTACTATATTGGGCATATCATCATATTATCATAAAGCGGGTGACTAGGGTGTAATAACTGCTATATCGAGCATACTATTGGAGCCGCCTTTTGTAGATAGAGACTTAAATGATACACAGACAGTTATGTTGCTGTAATATAGGTAACTAACACACAAATGAGACAGGCTTCAATGATACGGCTTTATTTTGGTCCAATGTACAGCTGATACTGGCTTCAACTGTTTAATAGGTGCTATATAAAACATGTTGCTGCAATGTATTTTCTAGATGAACACTTGGCATTGTTATCTTTATGATGAATGTAGTAGGTGTTAATTTTGCTCCAAGAATTGAGCATGTAACATGTTGTTCGTTCAATTTAATGGCATCCTAACCACAGACTTGGAACAGGTGCGCTCCTTAGGCATGATCTGAAAACCTTCTTGAGCCCAATTTGTAATTACTATTGTTTTGTGGTAGCACCATGCACATGGCCCGCAAAGGAAAGTTCCTTTGATGAATGCTTAAGTCATGCAATAGTTTTACATCAATACTCCCCACAATGATGATTTTTGTATTTGGGGATCTTTACGAGAAAAAAAGGTGTGGGTTATTTCTTAGCGTGTATGAGGTGGGTTGGTGGGCATTATATGGTGGCTTGCACCAGCTTTGGATTAAACAAGATTGGCCATAAAATTTAGGAGTTTACATTAAAGGAAAGAAGCTTCTTTGGGGGTTCATAGGAAAGCCTAAGTCTAGTAGAATCATGGAGTCGACAGAGCATGTGAATTGAAAAAAAACCACCACCTATTTGTTTTGGGGGAACTTTGTAAGTCGAGAAAATAGTTGGCAATGTGGAAATGTCTATTCCCTTTGAATTTTGGGGGAAAGCTCTTTCAAACCAGAAGTGGAAGATAGGGCATCCGAACTTCGACCAAATTGAGCGCATAACTGGGTGTGCTATACTTGATGCAATATGAGCTTTGGCTATGCATGCCTAGCTTAGCCAAGGTAACAAGTTGAGCTTGAGCAGTTTATTAGATCAATTAGCTTTCCAACCTGTATTACATCACTTGACAATTTTAAATGGTTGGAAGGTGGTTTTCCTCTTTGGTTCAATGATATTTTTGGTAGTTGGAGGACTTTGTTGTCATTCATACGTGATCAACTGTAGAAACTTTCAGTCCATGTACATCCTTTAGTTCCTTGTTTCCTCGATTCTAACTTATTTGTTAGGCAATTTTTGCATTTAAATTTTAGGCTCTAATTCTCTCTACATGTTGGTTTGACAATTATCTTTGTTAAACAATCAGTTACTCTAAAAGTTTAAATTGTTAGAAATGGTGAGTTAAATATTTATATTTCAACATGTCCATTCACGTGAAGACTAGTTTTTGGGCCTAACATATAGAAATCTTTTAATTATTAGGATGTCGACAAGATTCAAACATAGGAGCTCTTGGTCTAATACCATATTAAACAACTATCTACTCTAAAATTTTAAATTGTTAGTGAGAGTGTAACTTAAGTATTCATTTTTCAACAGTCTTGATGAAGTTTTGCTTGTCTTCACTACTAAAACAATTGTTCGTTAAATTGCTTGTTTTCTGTTTAATCATATAAGGTGAACAAGACACAAAGTACTCTTAGCGTAATTTCCTCATTTATAATCCTTTTTGTAAGATTAACAAATCACAAAGTATTACAAACATCATTAATCATAACTAAGCTTGCCAATCATGTCGGGTGAAGCAGATTCTTGTCGAGTCAAAGCGGGTTCGTGTCAAAAAATACTCTACCCATACCCCATTTGTTTATTAATTCGTGTCTAACAAGTTGTGTTATATCGGGTTAAGTTTCGTGTATGAATTATGTATAAGTGTTATATAAATGAGTCATGTCATGTATGGATTATGTATAAATGAGTCGTGTTATATTGGGTTAAGTGTCGTGTATGAATTATGTATAAGTGTTATATAAATGAGTTGTGTCATGTATTTATTTTGATTGTCTTCACCCATGTCCGATATGTTTATTACTCGTATCATGTCGAATCTACTTTTTTATAAAATGGGTGGCTTAAGAAAGACCAAAACCCTCTAATTTCGTGTTATATTTATATCGTGTTAACGAGTCGTATCTTATTTTGACACCCCTATTCATTACTAATATCACTTTTAGGAACCCAAATTTTTATTCTTGTTGCAAGACACGACCTTGCAAGCAGTATTGTAGTGAGGAATTTCATGCACGTACCTTTATCATCACAACACTTCCCTGGCATGTAAATGGACTCTTTTACGCAACAAAGTTCAACACGTGGTCATCATCTATGTAATTATATGTTCATTTTAGGTGCAAAAGTTAAATTCATTATGTAGTGAAAAGATGTTCGGGCTAACAACCAATAGGTTGATGGCAGTCATTTTGTGCATTTTGTTGTTCCGGGAAAAGGGAGAAATGACGTGGATCTTCCATAACGATTAAACACGTGGAGCGCATGACACTACCTAGAGGGGTGTAAATAGGTTTTTCGATTTTAGCTTAAATAATTACGAATTAAAAACTTAATTCCACCATAATTACCTCTTCTTACGTGAATATAACAATTAATCGTGAGAACCCGTTTCAACCACCACGACCCCTTTTACCTGTGAAAATTGATGTTGTTAATTTATCAATTAAACACTCAAAACACTCACTCGGGGTACCAAAATCTCAAAACTCAATCCCAATACTCAAACTATAGATGATTTATATGTCTAGCATTCAATTCATCAAATACATAGTGCACGTGTGTGTAAACAATCACAAGTACTTATATAAAAATAATAAAGAACACAATTGATTTGTTGACGCAGAAACCCTCCTCAGGAAAAACCACGGGAAACTTCTACTAGTTTACCAAAACCTAATACACTATCTCAAAGTCAATCTATAAGTATTTGAGTCTTATACTTCAACCAATACCAATGTTAGATACTCCTTCCTTCAAAGATGTCTCCACCAAAATGCCTCCTTTGACATTTTGGATATCTTCACTTGGATTCATCTCCGTAAAAGATCATTCAGGCCTCGAACGATTTTGGGCGCATCAAGTATCCTCGGAATGCACACACAAATGGGTTTGGTTTAAACTATTTATGATCTTCAACACCAAATTATGAGGTTGGGTAGAATCTCTAGAAAGGTTGTCTTGGGTCTTAGGGATCTAAGGTTGTGGTGGAAGCTCTCTAGAGTATATGCCAGATTTCTCTCTCAAAACTCAGTCTAAAGGCTTATCCTAGTAGTAGGAAAGACACTCCCTATTTATATGCTCGAAATAAGGACAATCTTAGTCAACAAGAAAACTCAAATTCGTGAACAACTGCTTGATAAATGAGAGGGTAGTCATAGAGCGGTGGTCATTTGAATGAAAATCACGTTTCAAACTGATGTAGGAGAGCAGACTCTCGAGGACCCCAGAGAGCAGGGCCTGTTCTCCTCTATTTGGTTTTTTCTCTTATTCTAAACTAAATTATCAGGAGACCGTTCTAGCGAAGGCTAGTGAGCATAGGGCGGTCCCTACTAGTGTTTTAAGCATAAAATCAAAGTAAAACACTTGTTTTCTTGAATACTAAAGGGTGTTGTCCAAGAGGGGTCCATTAATGGTTCAAACATGTCTTCAAAAACACAAAATCGTTTTAGAAAATCTTTTCGTTGAAAAACACCAAGGAGTTGTACACGGATTACTTTCAATTCCTTTTAACCTTAAACCTCCTAAATTAATTACCAAGGGATCATCTTAAGTATCTAGGTCATTACCTTTGTCCTAAGTTTGAAAGTGCATTCGGAGTGTGAATGATGTTGTTTTGTCTCTTGATCTCCTCCCGTCAATGATTCATTCTTTATAGTATCATGATCATGAAATATGTTAAGATTTATGATGAACTCCACAAAATTAGTCAATTACAAACATATGTCTAACACATTTAATGTCAAATATTAGGTGAGTGTACAAAGTAATTGCTCTTAGATTCAAGCCCTCCCAGAACTTTCAGTCCATTGAAATCAAACTGATTAGTGGATAGATGTTTGAATACACGATTCTGCTATTCGTTATGTACTAGAATGCTTTTTAACCATGTTGTTAACTGATTATTGTCTCCCTTGGTCACAAGACTTGGCACTCATGATTGGAAGGCTCAATTAAAGCTACCGCCACCTGACACTCGTTACAAAACAGAGGTATGCGTGCAAATATTAGTACATCTATGCCTTTTTTAATAATTATCTTCTGTACTCTGTGGAATTTCTTTGTTTTTCTCTTTGCTCTAGGCTCGTTCAAAATCTACCCACTGTATATCCGCAATCTAAGGGAATTCGAATTGTATATCTGCTTTCACACAAGTCATTTCAGCAACTCTTGTTGAATTTTTTATGAAACATCTGTGGGTCTTCTTACTTTGTTTGTGTCATGTCATCAAGGAGAAGGAATTCCATGTTAACAGGATAACAAAATTGATACCCGTTACTGTGACAGCTTTTAGTATACAATGATTGTAACTTCTTGTCAGTCTTTGCAATAAACATACTGTCTTGTATGAAGGCAGAGCTTTTTGAATGTTGGAAAACTGATGCATTCAATTTGCATGTGTAACCGTCATATGCTTTAATATCTTTGTAGCCTTTTATCATAGTATCTTGAGATGAGTGGAACATGAGTGCGGTCCCCAAGAAAACCCTATTATGTTTTCTCACTATTTTTAGGTTATACCAATCTTTATTGGTAACATTAGTGAGACACTTATCTGTTATATACTTCACATATTAGGCCAATCATGCGATTTTGCCCTGGGCTAGAAGAGAAAACAATCATTACTTGAATATCACTTTATTGGAGACTGAATTATCTTTTTTTCATATCATAATTTGATCTAATTATTCGTTTGTCATTACAGGATGTCACTGCAACAAAAGGAAATGAATTTGAAGACTACTTTCTAAAACGTGAGCTGCTAATGGGTATATATGAGAAAGGGTTTGAGCAACCTTCTCCCATTCAGGAAGAGAGTATTCCTATCGCTCTGACCGGAAGCGATATTCTTGCCAGGGCTAAAAATGGAACTGGCAAAACAGCTGCATTCTGCATTCCTGCGTTGGAAAAAATTGATGCTGACAACAATGTCATTCAAGGTATTCCTGTTTAGCATTGATTGTTGTTATGAATTTTTTTCCTAATTAGGAAGGTAGAAAACCATCTTAATTTAGTTGTCTTTCTAAATATGTGAAAATAGGACCTTTGGAATATTTAAATGGTGTATTATACTTTAACAAAAACTTCCATGTAAGTGTCTAAATGATGGTGAAAACATTTGCAAAGCGCATATTATGAGTTCAAGTTGTACCCTTATTTGAAGTTACTCTTCCTGTAGCTATACCAATGTCTGGCTAGTCTGTGCCGAGGGCAAATGAACTGGCAAAGTAGTTGTAGATCGTCCTATGTATGGAGAAGATATAAACTTGATGTAACTGGAAGCCACTGTTCTTCTCTTAACTAGTTGCATTCATATATCTGAGTTTGTGTGCTCTTGGAATTGGAAGCATAAATAGATGGGCAATGCCTGGTCATTTTGAAAGTTGAAAGCGGAAAGTGTATTGCCCCTTTTCCTCCAATGGCGCCCACTTTGGAAGCAATACTTGAACCATGTCGAGTGAAGCTTCATAAGTTTTTTTTATTAGTGTTGCTTTTGAGTTTCAGAGATGTTTTTGGCTTCACTTATACATCAAGGAAATATTTAATTAATTTCCCCCTCCCGCATTCCCCCCCTCTCTTGGTGCTGGACATATTGTATTAACATGTAAGCATTAAGTTTGACTTGAGGTTGCTGTGACACCTATATCAGGTTTCTTGTTGGTGCAATTTTAATTTTTGTAGAAGTTTGATGTACAGTCCGGAACCCTTCTTACATGGCTTAAATCCTTAAAGAAGCCAAAATTTCAAACTCTTCTAAATTTAACATTGCCATATCTACAGATAAACAGTTTTAATTTTGGCTGAAGTTGTCTAGGCATGTCTTTTGAGCAGTGTTTTGTTTGGACTTTGATAGGAAATAGAAAAAGAAAGAAAGAAAGAAAGAAATTAATCAAAAAGCAACACTAGGCAACTTTCAATTTAACTACATACTGCAAGTCGGTTTTGATGAATGGAGAAATGAGGAATATCCCAAAACTCCTTAGCAGTCATGGCCCAATGGGAAGCCGAAAACTTACTCTACTCAACTATATCATCAAAACTTCTTTTGTTCTTTTCCATCTAAACCACCCTTAAAATTGCCATAATCACATTCCCTCAATGTGGATGCCCTACATCCCTTCCAAAAGCACCATAATTTCCCATGAATAAGGAAAAATAACCTCATAGAATTACTCACTCCAAACTTACTTGCCCAAATGCTTTATACCACAATTACAATGCAACAAGATAGTGAAAAAAGAGATGATCAATACTTTCTCTCCAACGCCTATGCAAACAAACCACCGAGGAGAAAGACAAGTAGTTGGCTTTCTTCTTTGTAACAAGTCACCGAGTATTAATCTTTCCATGAACAACACTCTAAGCAAAAACTTGCACCTTAACATCCGTTTTAGCCTTCTAACTCCTTAAATAGGGTCGAAAAAAGAGGAAGATGGAGCATCAATCAACAAATGGAAATAAGATTTACAAGAAAATGTACTCCGAGGAATTGAGGAACCATTACCTTTTATCAAGTAGTTTTGACACCAAAAACACTGATTAAAGCGAAAACAAAAAAGATGAAAGTTCCACAATTTCACGATCATTCAAACTCCTCAAGAAATTAAAATTCCACTCCCTGAGAAGAAGATGAACAATACAAACTAGCAACATAGGAATCATGGGACCGAGACAGTTTAAAGAGCCGATGAAATGACTGAGTAAAAATTGGCTCACACCTCTAGAATTGGAGATGAAACTGAAACTCTTCCTTACAAGAACTTGATGAGGAGCATGAGTAGCACTAATTTGTTAAAACGGTTATCTCTGTGTTCCAAGAAATTGTTTTCTTATGACCATCTAGTAGACTGTTTCGAGTTCTTTAATTATTATTTTTCTTATCTTTTTGAAGGCATTGATTTTGGATTAGTCAAGAAGCTCATATATAACTTGTTCAATTGTGGTGTTCACATGCAAAGATTTTCTTTTGAATTTGATTTCTTGGATCATAAGGCAAAATTTTTGTAAATATATGACCATGTAGACTCTCCGAGTTTCATGGTTGATTTCAGGCCTGTGTCTAACTCAATACTTTTGACAATTGATGCAGTTGTTATACTCGTCCCCACTAGAGAGTTGGCTCTTCAGACATCACAGGTTTGTAAGGAACTCGGTAAGCATTTGAAGATTCAAGTGATGGTTACAACAGGAGGAACCAGTTTGAGGGATGATATCATGCGTTTGTATCAACCAGTCCATTTGGTGGTTGGAACTCCTGGAAGAATACTTGATCTTACCAAAAAGGGAGTGTGTGTTTTGAAAGATTGTACAATGCTTGTTATGGATGAGGTATGTTGAGGAGCTTTCAATTTTATGGTTTGGTTAACTTATCCAACAAACATCTGTTAGCATTGCATATGCATTGTGCTCTGATTTAATGCCATTTTGTATATTGGTTGGGAAGTTTAAAACTGCCGTGGCTGAAATGGGTACATATGTTTTTCTTATTCTCTGCTACAGGATGAGTCTCACCAGAGTCTAATTCTATTTGTCCTTGTGTGTCCCAGGCTGATAAACTTTTGTCACCGGAGTTTCAACCTTCAGTGGAGTATCTTATTTCGTTCCTTCCTGAGAATCGGCAAATTTTAATGTTTTCAGCTACCTTTCCAGTGACTGTCAAAGATTTCAAAGATAGATATTTGCGAAAACCTTATGTCATTAATCTGATGGATGAACTTACTCTAAAAGGGATCACACAATATTATGCTTTTGTTGAAGAAAGACAGAAGGTTCACTGCCTCAATACTCTTTTCTCCAAGGTTTGATCTCTACTGATATATTTACCTTGCCGTTTTTTTTGTTATGGATTTCTTGGATCTGATGCTTTATTTACAGCTGCAAATCAATCAATCAATTATTTTTTGCAATTCTGTGAATCGAGTCGAATTGCTGGCCAAAAAAATAACGGAGCTGGGCTACTCTTGCTTCTATATTCATGCTAAGATGCTGCAAGATCATCGGAATAGAGTATTTCATGACTTCCGCAATGGTGCATGCAGAAACCTTGTTTGCACAGGTATGCTCTCATCCTCAAAACCTCACATCAAAGCTTGGGGATTTGATTGTACGTAGTTACCCTTCTCATAGTTGTCCTATGTTGTTATTAAAAACAGCAAGATTGCCTGATACATCGGAGGAGCTAATCTTATTGAATTGTCTTTTGGCAGATTTATTCACGAGGGGGATAGACATTCAAGCCGTAAATGTTGTCATAAATTTTGATTTTCCTAGGAACTCGGAGACTTACTTACATAGAGTATGTCTTGAATTCAGTCTTGAGGGATGGACATTTTGCATTCCTTTTCCTTTTTCATGTTGCTTTCTGTTTGCAGGTGGGTCGTTCAGGAAGGTTTGGACATCTTGGGTTGGCTGTTAATTTAATTACTTATGAAGACCGCTTCAACTTGTATGCATTTGTTTTGCCTTTTGCCTTTAGTAAATAGTACCTTACAACTGGGCAAAGCAGCACTGTTTGACTCCGTTCATACATCAGTGATCATTCTTTTATTTTGTGCTTACTTTCAGGTATAGGATGGAGCAAGAGCTTGGGACTGAAATAAAACAAATTCCTCCCCATATAGATCAAACTATCTACTGTCGGTGAGCTGTAGTGAACATCGTATAGTGGTGAGTGTGACAAATGTTTGAAGCATTCTCTTGCCATTATTTGATTTATGCACGGGAACTAGGGTGCAAATTAACAGCCTTATGCACAGCTCAGGTTTCACTTGATCACAAATTTGTTCCGGCCTGTGTTTTCTCTATTTTTTCTGCATTAGAAAAATTCTAGCTGAGCAGATACATCTCTTGAGCAGAAAGCGGTTGCATGTAATTCAGCTCATAAATGGAATTTGCTCTCATCAGTATGTCTGGTTGTTGGAAGTTCCATGAATGGTTATTTCACTGCTGCATGTTTGCTTGGTTTCGTTTCTTTTGACCAATTCTAGGCTATTTTTGGTTGGATTAATTTAATGACTTCCATCCATCTTACCTACAGGGTGGTTTCCATTCTAATTTAACTATCAAACTCTGTAGCTTAGAGTTAAGATGACAATTAGGAGAGTGCCCGGGTCTGAATAAAAAGGGTTACCCTAGTCTTAAAGACGTGCTGTTGTTTTTTTTGAAATTACAATTACATTAAACAACTGACTGTTTCGTTTTGCGGTAGGTTTGCCTTGCCTATGTATTATGCATCCTTTAGATACACATTAAGGATGTTGTGAATTTGTTTTTCAGTAGTAGTATAATCTTCAAGGATCTTATGTTCGGATTTGTCATGACAACTGAATCTCTGTGATCATACTTATTTTTCTTATCTCTTTTTGTCAAATGAAATATTCTGTTGTACATGGTGATTAAGAATAAGGATGAATTGCTCTTTGCACCAGAGATCTCAGGTTCAACTGTTCACATGCCCTCTAAGGGTCAATTATCCTTGTTCTTCAGGGTACATGTTTTAAACTTGCTGAGGCTATGGTATCTAGTATTTGAACTGGGAGTAGTTGGCTCAAGTCTCCACACTATGAAAGATTTAAAAAATTTTACTTTTTACCCCAAAAGATGAGATTTTTACATTGTATATTTATTTAATGTATTAAAAGTGTTGTAAGGAGATTCTTCAGCTAACGGTGGTACAGAACTCTCATAAGACTTTCATGTTTGTAACTTTCCAGGAAAAAATGTTTCATATACAACTTTTTTCCTGAAAAGGGGTTGGATATAGGATTATTAATCAAACCAAGTTTGAACATTTTTTTAAGTTCGTTAATGTGTAAATAGTCAAACAAGCTTGTTCGAATTTAACTCAATTAACACCCCTAGTTTCATATATTTGTGCCGAACAAATACATAAGCTTGATTGTACAGACAAGCACGAGGGACAACAGGTTAGGTCAGATCAGTCGGTTCGGTTATGACTCAAATGTTATGACTAAATTTATACCCAATAATTTTGTGTCGGTTTAAGGGATGGTGTTGGGAAATATTAGCACAACCACAGATGGCAAAACTTTCAACTTCATTCTCACAATTCAAAGGACACTGTTTTGATTATACACATATAAAGGCACCACACTATACATACCAAAAAGAAACATGCAAATACCAGTTCCCCAATATTACCTAACACAATGAATCAATCAAGCCTGAGAAAAATTAAGGCAAACTGTGTCAAAAAACCCATTAATTTTTTATTTTTTTTCATTTTCCAGAGTAAAAATCAGCCTCTAAAGCATCCAAATAACTTCATTGGTATATTGCCAGTTGCCCGGAATTTTGCAGCTGTTTCACCTACCTTGAGAATATCTTCACCCCGTTTGGCTTCAATCATAACCCTTTTCTCTGCTGCTGCCTTGTGGATTCCAGCCATCTTATTCTTCATCTTCTCTGCATATTCTGCTTTCTTCTTTTCAAATTTTTCCTGCTCATTGTAACGTTTATCAGAACAATGCTAATGGTAATGAAAGAGATGATATATATTGTCAAAGACTTTATAGTGTACCAATTATTATTTAGAAGAACACATTTATGGGTGTTTTTACGAAAAGGAAAAATTAGATGGTTCACTACAAAACACTAGTCTGAATTGAACAATTTAAAGTTATGAGTCTACTTGATTCATAGTATGTTTTTGTTCAACATTCTTTACCACAGCATGATTGGTTAAACTGATAGACTCTTAAGAAATCAAAGGAAGAATAATTTATTACCTCAATCTGCACCAGCTGAGCTTCTACAGATGCTCTTTTAGTGTTCTCCCATTCTCCAATGGCACAAACCTTTTTATATGCTCTGATAAATTGTTTCATAAGTTGCAAAACATCAACAGATTGGAGAGAGAGAGAGAGAGTGGACAAACAGAATAGAAAACTTCAATTTGTAGACTCTAAGATGTTGCAAGGATAAGTAATCTGTCACAAAATTGCTATTATTTCTGTTGGATTTTACTGATATATAGCCAAAAAAACAAAACAGAAAACCCAAGGAAACAAAAAAGAAAGATCAGTTTGAAGCTTACTTGCTGTCTGCTCTAATTTTTTCATTGTCTTCCCAGGCTTTAATCAGAGCCATTTTTTTCTCTTGTTCGACCTTTGCAAAGGCAGCATCTGCAAGAAAACATCATGATAATGCCATTGATCAATTAGTTTACTATAAAAATCTCCATTAAAATGCAAAATAAAACATGATATTATTTCCACCTATAAATATGCCTATTATACCTCTGTTAATTGCATCCAGAACTGAACTTTTTTTCAGTTCCAGGACCCGCAAACTCTCATAAATTCAAGATTTTAAACAAATGCGCGCGCGGGTGTGTTGTGTGAGAGAGAGAGATTACTTTCATGAATTGGAGGTGGTTTGGAGGGAGAGAATTCCTTTTCTGAAATTGGAACAAAAGCTTTCTCATCTGGTTCATGGTTTGGTGTCTTTTCTTCAGCAGGTTCCTCTTTGGATTTAAGATGTGCTGTGGCCACTGAAGATAATTCAGATTCAACCTTGTTTGGTTCTTCTTCTCCCATATCTCTCTGGATTACTTACAAAATTTGTGCAAGTTTGATGATTTTCTAGGAGTTTTGCAGAAGGGTGATGGAGAGAGAGAGAAAGAGAGAGGGGAGTTGGTAAAATGGAAGTTGGAAAGCGCCAAAAAAGGTACAGAGATTCTAAAAGAAAACAAACCACGTGTGAAACTAAATCAATTGGTTAATTTCTATTTCAATAGAAAGAAAAAAATTTCATAGATGTAGAAGTAAAGGTATGGTATAAATAATGCATCTCTTTCACGCCAATACAATATCATTGAGATCTTCTCACGCTCTACAGAATATATATGACAATCATATATCCCACTGTCAATGTGGGTGGTGTCTACACTGCCCTAGTAGACTACGATTAATTGTTATATTTTTTTAAAATGGGAATGGGTTGGGAACCATCAAAACAATTAGACTCGATTCCACATCATTTTTTTTTTTTTGGTTCAACGATTAAAGATGTCTGAATTAACTTATGCACACACATCGATTAATTCCCTCCCTGGTCCGATCAAGGGCACATCGAGATTAGAGTATTCAAATCTCTTATAAACTAGCCCTAAGGAACTATCAAGATTCAAATTCAGAACATTCAAATTTACAGCTCATTTTTCCTACCACATTATCTACCCATTGGGTTAATTCCAAATCATCTTTATGGGTTTTCAACTTCTTGACCAGTCCGTTGAGACACATCAAGTACACAAGCAAATACCCTCAATTTGAGAGAGAGAGGGAGCCGTGCTGAAAGAGATTTGTAGCCATCGATTTTGCTTTAAGATGATTTATAATCATTGATGATACAAATACAAGAAGATAAAAAAATTTAGAGGTGCAATTCTTTTATTGGATTGAAAGCATCTTTTTGGTACCTTATTTGAGAGGTTTGTGAATGTATAATTAGGTTGCCGTTCGTTTTCAAGGGCCACGATTCGATTCGACCCTTATTGGGTTGGATAATGAAGTGTCCAAACATTGAAGTGTGTTGATAGCAGCTTTCCAACCATACTCTGCACTCTATAAACCACCTAATTTTGCACAGGGTTGGGTCATTGCTATTAGGATAGGACAAAAATAAATGTAAATAAAAAATAGACATTTTAGGTAAAAAAAAAAGGAAAAATAAAATTAGTATACTGGATTTGGTAAAAAACGGACACTCCTTTTTGAGTTTTGACAATATTATATGAAAATCCCTTGATGTTTAAAAAATAACATAAAAACCCCCTAAAGTTTGAAACTCAATGCATGAAAACTCCCTTTGTCAATATTACTGATGAAAAGTGATGATTTCATCCTAAAAAAACTTTATTATTTTCACAATTCTCCAAATTTAGAGAAAAAAATTAAAAATAAAATCAAACAAAAATTGACATAATTTAATACCCCCAAAATTGATATAATTTAACACCCCAAAAAATTGATTAAATAAATTTTAATATTAATTTAATAACAATAAAAAATAATTTGATATTAATTCGACAAAGTTAAATATAAATTGAACAAAATTAAGTGTCAAAAAATTGATAATAGTCAAAAATATAATTTAAGGTCAATTTCATATTGATTTGATCAATAATAAATAATATTTAACATGAAAAGAACTTTAAATTATAAAATAAATCTAAAGTTCATTTTATCAAATTGACATTTAATTTTGTCAAATTAATATTCTGCATGGAGACAGAAGGGATTTCCATGCAATGAGTTTCAAACCTCAATGAATCTGTGTTTTTTGTAAATGCCAAAGGATGTCCATTGTAATATTACTGAAACTCGGGGGTGTCCATGTTTTTTACCCTACTAGATTTTGCACTTCAATACAACGTACTATTGTAACTTAGACCACACAAAGCAGGAGTAGGAACAAGAGCAAGAGCGCTAGAGCAAATTTTTTAAAAAAAAAGTTAAGTGGAAGCGTCACTGAGAGCGTTAATATGCATAGCATTGTGATACACATTAGAAAAAAACGATATCAAGTGTTAAAAATGAGAAAGCAAATTTTAGTAGTAAAGAAATAATAATAAAAAAAAAAAGCAGATATGAAGAATATACTAAAGCATCTCCAAGTATTCAGAACAAGTATCTGGTGCCCAATAAATCCATAGAAATATTTATATGACAAAGTAGAACTGCGAATACACACATACTACCCTCACATCCTAGATGACAGTTTAAAAAAAAAAAAAAGAGATAAATTACACATGTACCCCCCTTTTTTCTCTGTCCCCTCGACTATCAAATTTCTCATATTGCACTCTCAACTATGTCATTAGTTTCACATTGCCCCACTTATTAACGTTCGTTACATATTTTACGAAAAGTTATTTATTTTGTCCCTCAAAGTTATAAGTTATAAAGTGTTAGTTGAGAGTGCAACGTTAAAAATCTGATAGTTGAAAGAACAAAGTGAAAAAAAGGTGAGAGTTCAAGATATGTAAGTATAATTTACCTTAAAAAAAACTAACTCAGGCTCATTAGTTGGACATTTCTAGGGGTATTCAAATTTTTGATTAGCCACAATTTCCTACCCTACCCAACCCTATTGAACAACTAATCGAAAAAATCAAATAAGAATAGGGCAGAGTTTTTGGTCTTTCAATTAAATCAAGTAAGAATGCAGAATAACCATTAATTTACATATTCCTACACTACCCTACTCGCATTAATATACATAATATAAGCTAAAAACACTAATTCCCTAACCATATAGTTTAAATTTAAAATAATTGTTATTAAATTTGTGCAACAATTATAATGAATTGATGCTTATATTTTCTTGTATTTTATTGTAATTGTTGCTGTAATTGTTTTAAGTTTTAATGTTACTGATTTATTATTTTGTTAAATTAGTGCATGCTATTTAATTGAATTGTTAAAATTATTCAAAAATTAAGAACTACAAAAGTGTTCACCCGATTTCTTACTCGAATAATTTGATCAGAAGTCGGGTAAAAATACCACACTTGATCGGATAGAGTAGACTAAGAAAAAATTCTTCCGCAAAGTACGAGTAGGAAGACAAAACACTATATTTCCTACTTGTAGGGTAGGGTAAATACCCTAGGCATTGCACATTGTCATTTAGCCTCGAGGAATTCTCACCCAAAACAATTACTAAAAAGAAATATAAATCATAAGAATTTTAAATAGAAACTCAGGCGCAATAAAATATATCCAAAAGAAAGTCACATAGACATGTAAGAAAACGAACCCGTATGCCCTACGACGATATACATATATGTTTTCCCTTTCCAAAGCTCTAAAATTTTTTCAATAGAATTTGCATTACTAATGACAATAATCCGCATCAGTCATCCATATCCAAAGTATAATTTGATGACTGTAAGAAATCTTAAGCAAATGACTTAAGTTGATCATTAAGATCATAAGAAAAATACTTAAAAACTTCAAGGTTCAAGAAAAAAATGAGAGGAGAAGCAAGGAAAAAGTTTTTTTACAAAATAAAGTTCACCTGCTATAAGCCTGCATAAAGATAACTTCACAACTGTTTAATTACTGTCTTTTAAGCCTCCCAAAGTTCAACAGGTTGGTCTTTCCCTCCACTGTCTTAATTACTACAACAATCAATAGGGAATATCTGAAATGGCACCAAAATTTAAGAAGCGAAAAACTATAAGTAATTGGTAGTAGAGGAGTAGTAATATACCTTAAATGGCGACCTGTAGACAAACAAACCCAAGCACAAAAAATGCAAACAAAAAAATCCAACAAAAACAGAAATTTCAACTTGAAAAGTACATAATTACAATAAGTTCAAACTTTGGAATAACTAATTAAGTTTATCACACTTGCATCAATTCAAAAGTTGGCATTTCTGAAAAAGTTCAAAAATGTGATTCATTCCATCACAAACCAAACACCTAATCAAGAACTCGGGCATTTTAAACAATCTCTTTACATGATAAGACCGCTCCAAGTGAATCAGTAAATGCTCTTTTTCTACATAAGGCTGCTCCAAGTCCTTTAATTTATCCTAAATAATTCAATGGCTCATTATATCATACATGAGATTTCTAAGACTATACAATGAAGATCATAATTGCTAAATGTAAATAATTCCAACCCCCCCCCCCCCCCCCCTTTCCTCCCAAAAAAAATAATAATAATACCATTTGTTCCCACAACAAAAAATGCATCATTATTTTCATAGCATAGGAAAATTGGTAGCATCAATTAAAATGTTTCCTGAAAATTATATTACCAAACCTGGCTGGTAACTCATCCAATTTCAGTCCTCCAACTCTCTTCCTAATAAAAAAATATAGACAACATGCACATCAGGTAAAACAGATAATTGGCAGAGTAAAAGAGGCAAAGTAATTTTTCTTTCATGATCAAACTCGCTATAGTAGAGCATTACAATCCAATACTGAATATGAATAACCGAAATGTTAATCTTAATATTTATAAAGACATTTAAGACAATGTCTAATATATTATATAACCACCAAAGAAAAAACATTGTTCAAGAAACTGGTCTTTCCAAAGCTTTCAGAGGTTCTAAAGGGTTCTCAATGGGAGCTGGATGGGGTAAGACTATGTCTGAATGACCAATTGGTGACTGAAATCTGTTCATCACATCTTTGTTCTAATTTGAGGCATGATCGGTTGGTGTGTGGAATCTAACACATTCAGGCCATTTTTCTATCAAGACAGCTTGGGAACTGGTAAGAGAGCAGGGTCAGGTGAATGGAACAGCAAGAGTAACATGGAAGCAATATACTTCACCAAGAGCTCAGCTTGTGGGATGAAAGATACTTAAGAATGCATTGCCATTGGATTCCAGAATTCAAAATCTGGGAATTCCTATGGTAAGCAGATGATGTGTCTTTTGTTATAAAAATGTAGAAAATCCTTCTCATCTATTCATTGATTGTGCTATGCAAAGGAAGTGTGGGGAAGAATGTTTCATTGATGGGGTTTCAGCTGTTAGAGTTGGAGGATCCTCTTACAAGATTTAGAGGATCCTCTTACAAGATTTCTTGGAATTGTGAGAATTTTTAAAATTTCTTCTCTAAGTCAAGCATTGATCAGAGGCATTCCACTGGTTAATTTTTGGCAGTTATAG